CTCCGTAGACACACTCATTATGGCTAGAAAAGCATTTGTTGAGGAAACATAACAGCGATCGGTAGCTTAGCATGATGCTAACTCATGTTATCATGGAGGACTTTGTTTATATCGAATGGTTTTAGAAAGAAATGTGATTGTTTGGATTTTTTAAAGATATTGTATGTTACTTGTCCAGTTTGCTTTTAGGAAGTCATCTGTCAAACATAGGTCTGTTATGTTTATATGAGCACATTATGTAACTTCAGTATTTCAAAATTAACAATGGATGAATTTCTGCTCATGTAGCTAGATTTACAACGTTTGCAATTTTTTTTTTTTTTACATGAATATGTTCATGAGAACAGCTTAATAATAAACATCACTTTGGTAAATGCTGTATCTGTTGTTGTATTAGTATATTCATTTTGACGTCTATACCATATAATGATGGACCTGTTATGTTTATTGTATTAATACTACATGATTTGTAGTATTTGTTTGTTTATTGTATTAATACTACATGACATGGTTTATTGTATTAATATTACATGACATTGTGTTTCATGTTGGTGTGAGTGAGCTGAGTATGTCAATATACTTAAACTAAAATGCATTATTTGTAATAGTTTTACTGAATGGTGTGCATTCATTTTTAGATGGGGAACTGAATGTGCTGGAAGACATTTTGACTGATGCTCCTGACCAGGACGATGAGCTCTACAACCCTGAAAGTGAACATATTAATGAGAAAAAAGGTACATATGCAAAACACCATTTTAAATAATTTCCAGATCGGATTTTATTCACACTGCATTAGGGCTGCACGATTAATCGAATGCGATTGTCATGCACGATTTGTTAGTAAAGCCGGTTCTGTAATCAGCAGGAAATCGTCATCACGTGCTTTCAGATGGAGCAGCATTTACTACACAGAGCCGTAGTTCACTGACAAGTTACGCAAAAAAATCGCAGACAATTTTATTGTGCGATTATGAAATCGTTCGCGATAATGACAACTGTTTTCATAGCTTCTCCGTGAACTACGGCTCTGTGAAGTAAATGCTGCTCCATCTGAAAGCATGTGAAAATACCACATTTAATAACATATTTTTACTCCAAACTCACTTCATAACGTCAGTCGAGTGTTTGAAATAAATCCTTCTGTGAGATGATGTGGCTTCTTACACAGAATAAGGCACGCAACATATTTCATAGTGTTTAAGCAGTGATAAAGGCATTGCATTATAAATATACTTTATTTTAATGAAAATT